TCCCGAGTGCATCAATCAATGTCGTCTAACTCATTCAGACTCGTGCAATCAGGGATGAGCATGGAATTCTACTCAGCCCCTCGCTCTCCCCCATCACCCCACCCGCCTCTGCACCTTCCCCTCCCAAGCCCTCTCCCTATGCCAATCCGGCACAAACGCCTTGACCTTAACCACTTCCTCCCTCCCCGCTCCCTCCCGTCCCTCCAGCGGCTCATCCACGACCCACTTGATCCCAAACTCCGTCCCGGGCACATGCGCCCCAGCTCCAGCAGACTCGGCTGTCAGGCGGATATCCGTCATCATCTCGAGCCTGCACATCGCCAATCCGACATTCCCTACAGAGGTGATGAACTTCCCCGCCGCGCGCCCTTTGCGGCCACCACCCAGCGCGTCGAAGTTCTTGATATCCGCGTCTTTCGGCGGCGTCGGCGTCGGGCCTGCCCAGTCAGCATCATACCGCAACCTCTCCGGCTCCGCGGAATCGGTCCTGTAGAGCTGGACGGGCAGAACGCGCTTCCGAACCACGCCCGTGTGTTTCGTGCGGATTGTCAGCTCCTGGCCGACGTAGCAGCCCTTGCGGAAGTCGATGCCGGACATCAGGTCCATGTTGTGTTCGAGGGGGAGGGCGCTGGTGGGCGGGATCTCGGAGGGGCCTTCTGGGATGCCGTGGAGGAGGCGGCGGAGGTGGTAGGATGGCGGGGTGGTTTGGGGGAGGTGCTGTAGGGGCGGTGGGAGTGGCGGGCTGGATGAGGTGGAGGAGGTGGTGGTGGATACGATGCGGTGGCCGAATTTTGGGGCGCGCGAGTCGGGGATGTGGATTAGGGATGTGCTGGTGTTGGTCAGGTTTGTGGATCCGGCAGAGTCGCTGCTGCTGCTCCTGTCGATGTGCCTCCTCCCCTCCTCTGTTCCCAAGTCCGAGTGCGAGGACGCGGATGGTGCGGTGTCGTCCCATGCTGCCCAAACACCCCACTCCCCCTCCCCAACCGCCTTAATATTAACCTTGCTCCTCAGCTTGTGTCTTTTCAGATGCTTCGTCACTTCCTCCAGCACACTCCCATCGACCTCAATGAAGCAGCCCCAGTCTAACCCGTCTCCTCCCTTTCCCCCTCCCTCTCCACTCAGCCACTCTCTGTACCCGCGCACAGAACTCGCGGGGTAGACGAAGCAATCGTACAGCACGCGGCCTTGCGCATTGAGAAACGCTGTATACCACCCCGTGGTCGCGAATGGCGAGACGTTGTTGGTCGTGAGCCCTTGCAGGAACTTGGCCGCGTCGCGGCCGGAGAGGGAGATGAGGCGGCGGTGGGGGAGGGCTGAGACGCCCGAAGGAGGGGGCGGCGGTGGGTTGCTGGAGTTTTGGAGAGTGGTGCTGCTGGAGAAGGGTTGGCGCTGTGGGGGCGTAGTTGTATGGGGGCGTCGCGGAGCTTGGGCCGGTGATAGGGACGCCTTGCGGAGGCAGCGGAGGCAGATGAAGGGGCTTTGCGGGCGTGGGCGAGCGAACATTGTCGGCGGTTAAGCGTGAAGATGTGGATTTGACTCTACGGTATCAGCGGAACGTCAATATCACGGATACCTACCTCGCTGGTGAGCTGATGCTCGTCGTCATAGTGCCTGAAAAGAAGCTGCGGGTCCGTGCTCTCCAATCCGTGCAGGGATGGGCAACCTTCATTTCGGCTCGCCCTTAAGCGGAAGAAGCCTTAGACCTCACGGCACTATTTTAAGTCTAGATAAAACATAAGTTATCTATAAATAGAGTATGGTAGGTAGTTAATACTTGTCCTTCGTCAAGGACAAGAGACACATTCATGATCCAGAGGTCATCGAGGCAACCTCCAAAGCCGCAGCGAAGTTGACTGAGCAGTTATTCCTGAACTGGGATGCCGGCGTTGAGCTTTACAACATCAACATGCCGCCATTACAGGCCGGTCAAGAAGTCCGAGCAGTGTATACTACTGTGCTTCGCCGCTACTGGAACACCGCTAGTATCTACGAGGAACTCGAAGAAGACGGCAAATCGACCAACGACGCCTCTGACCATGATCTAAAACCATTCAAGTGGGCACCGAAGAAACACGATGTGCAAAAGCTAATTGATGAGAGTCTACCTGGAACTGATGGCTGGGCGTTGAAGCAAGGATACATCAGGTTTGTCAACCATGAATATTCCATGCCAAATGGCTAACGTCAATTTGCAAAGCGTTACACCGTTGATAGCGGACTTCTTGCAGCCTGTTGGGCTTTCAGGAGAGATCAGGTCGTCTGTCCAGCCATGAAACAGTTTCAATAGCAGTCTCGCTGCGGCTGTCCGACAGCTTAAATCCATTGGTCTAGTGAATGGTGCGCTTACGTAGATGGGTAAGAGGATTGAAATCGATGTTGAGGATAGGAGAGTGCTGGATAGGTGTAGGCGGTAACCATGGTACTAGCGCTACTAGTGTCGTGCTGGATATTATAAAAAGGTAGGGACCCCCGTGGGTTCTTGCCGCCAAGCATAGCTCTTTCCACAACACAGCTCCTTCCTTGGGAAGAGTGCGAGGAACAATAAAAGTCTTCCAGAATGGCGCTGTCCCTCGATTTCTCCAATTTCCCAGCCAGCCCCAACTTTCGAAAGAGTTCTCCGTTCATACCACCACCGCCCCCATACCAAACCTCGGAGATGGCCTCTACCGCACGAGCAGACGAAGAAATAGCGGTACCAGCGGCGGCTGCGGCGGCGCAGGTCCCTAACAATCCGGCGGCAGAGGGCCCGAACAATCCGGCGGGGGCAGAGGCCCCAAACAATCATGTATGTTAGGTATCCCCTGTTATACCAACATAGTCTTAATATCTGGCCTGCTGGTCATATGTTTAACCTTTGTAATAATGAATATGAGTGCTAATTTCCGATATTGGCAGGGGTTGCCTGAGTGGACGACGGACAACGACTTCGCGCAGGCGCTATCGCTCGCGGGATATGCCATCCTGCTTTTTGGCACGATCGTCGGCATTGCCATGAAGTGGACAGCGCAGAGATTCCACTGCAATAGTTTCGGTGGCCTACTCGCGTGGGCTATACTCATCAACATCCTGTGTGTGCAGAGCACGGCGCTCTTAGGAAAGGGCATCAAGTCTTGGGGCGGCCGTCCGCGGAAATGGCCCATCATTCTAAACTTCTTGGGTCGGGCTGTGGGCGGGCCTCTAATTATTCTCCTCTTCGCACTTCTGTGCGGCATACAGCAGGCGCTCTGCAGCGTAGAGCTCGAGTGCCCGAATGGACTTGTACACCAGCCGCGAAGGTCATGACTCCAGCTTCAGCATCTAATCGCAAGACGCTAGTGACGCGGTGGGAAGGAGATGACGGGGGAGAGTTGTTTGTGGTTAGCAGCATCGTGCAAGGATGGTGACTGGAAGGGCACAGTAACGAAGAACAGTGGGCAGAAAGTATGAACATAGAGAGTATAAGATACGGCTCTCGGAGCAGGAAAATAGGAACATAAAAAGTCAAATGCCTTGGAATAACTATCTTCTGAACTGCTCCACTGTTTGTGCAATGAAATCAGTCTAGCGCGTCTCGCCGTTAGCTTGGGTAATAAGTGCGAGTGCTCTATAATAAGAAGCTTGCAGACGCTTGCAGACCACTAAGGTAGAGGATGAGCTGTCGAGAATAACATTTAGTCTAAAACTCTCTCCAAGTTGTCGCTTACTACCTCGAAGGATAGAAGCGACTAAGATGTATTTTTCTTTACGGGCTTTAGGCGTTACATGCGAGTATCTCGCTTCTAGAACGCACTAGCGAGGATTTGTGACACAACCGCCAGCTCGAATAGTAGAACTGAATGCGTGTAAGGAGGGATCAAGCCTCGCTGGCCGAACTCAGCTATCAATCCCCCCTCCCAGCAAGCCACAGTCCAGAAAACTCATAAGCTGCCCAGGAAGTCCCCTTTCCCGAGAGGCACGCCTTTGCTCCTCAGGATGTCATAAGCGGTCGTGGCATGGAAAAAGAAGTTCGGAATAGCGAAGGTCAGTAGGTAGCTCTGGCCCGTGAACTTGAATTCCCTGCCGGGGAACTTCATGACCACCTCCTTCTCCTCCGTTCCGTCAAACTTGCTCGGATCCACGTCCTTGAGCACGTCAATCGTCTTCGCGATCCGCGCCTGAAGCTCCGCAAACGTGCTCTCGTTGTCCTCCATGGGCACGGCTTCGGCGTCGGCCACGCGCACGAGACTGTTCTTGGAAGTGTTGCTGCAGCTCTGGATCTGGAAGGTTAACGGCAGCATGTCCGCCGCCAGACGCGCGGTCAGGAGGTCGGAGTGCGGGATGCCGTTATCGTCCGCATATTGCTCGGCCTTCTTGAGGATGCTCGTGAGGTTGGTGAGATTACTGATGAAGAGCGGGACGCTCAGGTCGTAGAGTGAGATTGGCATGGTGAGGCTGCAGGGGCGGCGGAACTTTAGAAGGTGTTGGTGCAGTGCTGCAAGTGAGATAAGATGGAGATATATGGATGCCCGTCGTCACTGTGTCAAGCGCCAAGAGAAAGTGGAAAGAGGTTGCGGGTCCGTGGGTAACCTTAATTCCAACTCCTTCCGTGACCAGCGGTAGAAGCCTCAGACCTCACGACACCATCTCAAGTCCAGATGAAACACGACTTACCTATAAGCAGAGTATGGTAGGTGACCTTTAGCGAACACGAGAGATCGTGTTGCGAGTATCGTATTAATTCCTTTCCATAAGCCCGAAATCGAAGTTCAATAAAAGATATCGTACAGTACAAGTCTCGATGATACCAAGGGCAGTAGAACGAAGAAAAAGAAGGGTGCTGCAATATAGACGCTTTGTTGACTTCCTTTTTTGACGCCAGAAGGCCGGTAATCAATATATTCTCTTTATTAAGCAAGTTATCTTCATCGTACCGTTCTTCTTACAGGCGCTTACTAGGATATCTAGCTACTTGAGGGAAGAACAGCCTATTCATCGTCCTCCGGGGGCTTGTTTCTCTTACTACACTCTTTCATTCCCAAGTAACATTCTTCCCTATCCTCTGCAATTACGTGCTCTTCCTCCTGCGAAACATTTGGCCCGCGGAGTGCCTTGAACTGCACTTTGACTCATACAGGGTCCCGATGGCGTTCGACGTACTCAACACCCTGTTTTTCCTGCTCCTCCCGCTTCGGCTCCGTCTCTCCATTGGGCATTCCTTTCTCGCCCAGCGCCCTCCGTCTCCCAATTTCGGTAAGACTCACGCCCTGCCTTCTCATCTCCTCAAACTCCTTGGCCTCCTGAGCCCGCTCCGCGCGCTCTTCCAGCGACATCTCGGGGCCGAGTAGTAGCAGGATTAGCATATAAACCCAAACTGTGCCCATGAAGATGCCGATGACCTTGCCGTAGTCGAAGCGCTTGGTCTCGTCTGCAGCCGGCGGCAGCGGATACCGCTCCCCGATGACGGCTTGGATGGTGGCTGAAGCGCTCGATGCGAGGTTACCCAGTTGGTATGTCAGGCCCACGGCGAGGGTTCTTAGCGCAGGGGGCGACAACTCGATGAGATGGATCGGGATCGGCCCTGGAGACAAGTTAGTAGCTGAACATCCACAAGACGGTGTAAACAGACCCCAGACGCCGCCGACAAAGAACTGCAAGAAGAAGGCGGGGGCGATCAGCGTGAGATTCCGGGGCAGAATGTAAGCGGGAACTAGCGCGGCACCGATGATACAGCCGATTATCATGGTCAGCCGGCGGCCGATGATGGAGCTGATGTACCCGATCGTCGTGCCTCCAATGAGCGCGCCGATCTGGCCAACGACAGTAATGATTGTGGTGTTGGTGGGTGACTCTCCGGCCTGCTCTTTCAGAAAAGTTGGATAGAAGTCCTGGGAACCGTGCGAGCACGAATTGAAGCCGGTCATGAGAAGGACCATGTAGACCAGCAAGACCCAGTTCTGCTTGACTGCGACCCAAGACTCGCTGCCAAAAGCTCGCATGCCCTGGCGCTTCATGGGCTGGTCGGATCGCTCTGATGCACGGTGGGCGGCAGCGTGCTTGGCCTCTCGCTCCGCTTTGATGACTAGAAAGTAGTTCGTTTCAGGAAGCCACCATCGGAAGGCGATGATGAGAACGGGTGGGGCGGCGCCGAACCAGAAAAGGCTCCGCCAGCCGTGGGTCGTGGTTGGCACGAGTGCACGGTAGAAGACGGCTGCAAGGAGATAGCCCACGGCGTACCCTTGTTCGAAAAGGCCGGAAAGAATGCCTCGGGCATCGTAAGGCAGGTCCTCCAAGGCGGTGGCGGCGGCTGGTCCAAAGAGACCTGAAAGGGATCAGCCTCTTCTACAACCGGAAAGGGCATCCTGAAGTCCTCTTACCGCCCATAGCGATACCGTACAGAGACCGAACCCCCAGGAACTGGGGCAGAGTGGTGCAGAACCCTGAGCCCAGCTCAAGAACGATGAACAAGAAAAGATTGATGATCATTGGCCATTTGCGTCCATACCGGTCTGACAGAACTCCGAAGATGAGTGCTCCGACGGACCTTAGCATCAATGTCACAGTCATCCCCTAGCGCACCCACTATTGTTAGCAAGGTCCGTCACAGAGCGAAGCGCAATGATCCTCACCCAGCTAACATCTGAATTCGACACCCCAAAGTCCTTGGCCAACTCCGTAACCGTGAGCGACACGGTAAAAAAGTCAAAGGCGTCCCATGTCCATCCGAGAAACCCTGCGGTAAACATCAACCATTGATGGCGGTCCAGTTGGCGGAGCACGCGGATTGGGTGGCCGGCGTGTTGATTCTACGTAGTAAAGGAGATCAGCTGTCGTTTCTTGGAAATCTCAAGGTGAAGCAGTTGGAGACTGGTTTACCCGAGGTGGTCTCAAGGTAGGAATGCGACTGAGCAGATAGCGTCCAATTTGGGACGGAGAGTAGAACCAACCCGCTGCCATATGGTTCCTCATATTGGATATACTTCAATCGAGCCGACCACCTTACACGCAGATCGGAACGCAAACAGGAGCAAGCACAACAGCTTCCAACGTCGTACTTATCTATTACAACCATCACACCAGCCCAGATGACCTCGGTTCTACTCTAGATACCCCTCTGCGCGGTCTCAACACCACGTCGTATCATGGTCGACGTTGCATTCGCACGAGGGCGATGCTCATAGCCAAGCCGGCAGACGGCTGAATGGCATTAGAGACAAGCTCTCTAGCAGACAGATCAGCGGCGGGAGTGGCGGGGAACCCTGCAGCGGTATCACGTTTGCCGTACGAGTAGCCAAGTTTTCGAAGCTCCAGGTAAGGTTGCAGCAGAGGTGGGACACTTGTGCTTCGTACTCCGTGAAATATATACAGAATATAAAGACCCCGACAAACGCCGATGACTAGGAACATCACTGCAGAATAGCTCTTTTCAAAAATCTAACCATCCGTGGCGTGTTTAGTTTTCCATTCATCGACCAGTCCTCTGTAATCATCCGGTCCATACGGCTCCCACATCTCTGCCACCGCGCCTTTCTTCCTATGCTTCTGCAGTCCTAGGTCTTCCAGCAACATGTCGATGTAAGGGATCGAGTCGAAGACAAAGTCAGGGAAGTTTGCCCCGTAGCCACAAGGATACCGCCACTTCCCGAACTGGGTCTGCAGGACAGTCTCCCAACGAGCATCGTCCGCAGACAAAGGCATCCGGTCAAGCTTTCCATCGAAGTAGGCGGATATCCAGATGGCCTGCGCCTGTGCGACGAGAGGGGTGCTGATTGTTGAAAGGCTACCTGCGAAGGCGATGCTGCGGTCAAAAATGGTGGCCGGAGGAGCCATGAACCGGTATAGTCGGTACGGCTGATTTGGCCTGTCTTTCACAGCGTCATCACGCGGTTGCGGCTTGTAAGATTGGTTGAAAGCCGGTTGGGCCTTGAGACGTGGGAATCGTGCCAGGATCTCGGAATCCGCTTTTTGGACCAGCTCGTCTATTTCAAAGGAGCGGTGGGGCAGACCAAGTTCCCGATCAAGGCCCGAGGGCAAGAAGTTGATGGGCGGACGGTGTTTCCACCCTGTGGAGCAGATCAGAGCATCCGTCTTGAGAGACTCGCCATTAGAGAGGTGAACAGTCCCATCAGAGAGACTTGTGATGTCGGCGATGTGGACTCGGATCTTGCCGCTTCGCACGTATTCGAAGAAGTCCGTCGGATAGTTCAAGATACTGAGGCCGCTACCAATCCAGAAGGCAGAATACCACGGTTTCAGCTTCGCTGTCTCGGGATGCTTGTCGAATCCATTTAAAGAGATGACGTCGCCGCCGAGTACCTTCCAGAACGAGTCTACCATGAAGCGTCCCGCTACTGTGCCATGGAGAAAGCCTCGAATGCCACCATAGCCATCTTCATTTCCCCAGATGCATGGGCTGAACCAGGTAAGAAATCGTGTATGGACCAACTTCTCGAGCCATTTCTTAAGAGGAGTAACGTAAGGCGGTGCCATCCAGACAGGACCGCGACCGGAGTCTCGAATAATCATGTCCACCTGGACGTCAGACGACGCGTATGCATAAGCGACGTCCCAGGCACTTTTGGCTCCACCAAGCACGCAAACACTGTCCGCACTCTTCAGCGTATCGGCATTATGCAGGAAATCCTTCGAGTGGAATAAAGGAGCGTTGAAGGAGTCGGCACCGGCGAGTGCTGGGATGAAAGGCTCTGAAGTCAGTCCCGTCGCAACGATGAGCTTCTGCGTCAACAATTGCGACTCGCTTGCAGCAGGCTTTTCTTCGGCGCTTGAGATGACTGTAAGCAGCCATCCTCCGCTCGCCTCGCTCTGAACCGATTTGACCGTCGTGTTGAAGCGTATACGTCGGTAGACATCGAATTTCTCGGCGAATTGAGTGAGGTACTGATGGAGGACTGCGCCTGGTATGTGCTCGCCGGGCTTGACATCGAGGTTCGATTCAGGAAAGTCTGAATATTCGTAGGTGCCTAGCAGGTTGTTTGATCTGAGGCCGGGATAGAGGCGGTGCTCTGCCCATACACCTCCGAGAGTAGTCGCTCCCTCAAGCACGATTACATTGGCCGTAAGGTGAAGCTCTACGTAGGTTTTTGCGGCGGCCAGCCCATACCACCCTGGTGGAATCGACGCGCACTGTCAGCCTGGTGGATCTGTTTCTGCTAATGAGGACCTGAAACTGGGCATAGTCGGAGAACAAACTCACCAGCGCCAATTACAACCACATCTACGGATTCCATGTTAACTACTCGAGCTCAATGACTTGCTGTGTTCCTGGTCGGAGGTTCAAACAAGGAAGGATCTCTCAACGTCTCATTCTGCAGCTGGGGGCTCTCCGCAGTTTGAACAGAAGACATCACCGCGCCGATCGAATACGGCACAGCATGCCGTCCATCTAACTCATTTTGGGGGCCGAAACGCACCGGCTGCCAACTGGCGCGTGTCAAGTACAGTTGGCGCATCTGAAGAGGCTTTAACGACACCCTAACCCTCGGCGTGAGCAAGGCCAACCCTGGAAGTGTGGAAACATCCCTCAACACGTGTGAAGCGGTCCGACCGACAGCCCAAGGGCAGAATAGACCATTTGAGCAGCGGTTGGCTTGAGGTCTGGCTTGAGTCTGACTTAACTTCTTAGGTAAGGTGGCTTGTGGATGGGGTAAGGTGCGTAGCTTGTCAAGGGCCGTCAGACACACCAAACTCAGCGGTTGGCTTACAGCGGGTTACCCTTTTCGCTAAGCCAGGCCTTTGGCTTGCTAAGTCATAGGTGTGTCTTGATAAAATACAGCTAAAGAAAGTAAAGCGCCGCTGGAGAACGGCAAAGCGCGCCCCACTCCAACCTTGGATCTGTCAAGCCAAGCCAGATCTCAAGCCAACCGCTGCTCAATGATCTAATGAGGAGTTCATGGTCATGCAGACCGAGAAAAGACCGACGACAGGGGAGTAGGGCCAATCTTGTCCTGTTACAGTACAGTGCGGCTTGTGATCGCGCTGCACGCGGGCCGAACCCAGTCAACGCTTGTTGGTTCGGGAGGTCGTTTTTTGCTGAAAACGGCTTAGGTTCAGGTTCGGCGCCTGTCCCTTGCATGTCAACCATGACAGCCATGACAGCCATTTCAGCCTGCCGCCAGCCTTCCCGCTCAGGGGCGTGAGGTTGGCTTTAATCTTAGCACACCAACCGTAGATCACTCAATGATCGCTTGGTGATCACCTTGAGTCTAAGTGGGGAAAGCACGCCCTGTGAGTGGGATACAGTGCAATATCTCCGAGCGGGATGTCAATGCCACTTCCGGTGCCCTCTCTACAAGAAGCCGAGGAGACCGCAAGATATCACACGCCAGGCGGTCCTCTATCCATGGTGCAGCTCGTGCGCATGTTCATCAAAAACTCGAATACCTCCTCACGAGCGGCATGGCCATACCGTGCCGTTGAGTCTGTAACAACCGTTAGCACTGCGGATCTCCATCTCAGGTAAAGCAATAACTAAACTATGTTAAGTAAAGGCACGAAGGAACCTTGGAAAATCTGGAACGGACCCGACACAGGGACAGCTCATCGGCTCACACGTGCCGTCCGCCTGCCGTGTGCCGTGGTGCCGAAGCGTCAAATCGGAAAGAAAATCCACCCTACCTCGAGGTAGACCAAGGCGGGATGGGGAGAATGCTCGAGCATTCACCCGTGCCTGACTACAGCCTCGGATGGAGTGGTGGCGCGGTTCAGATCATGCAAACATGATTCTCAGTCATTTTAGCAGAAGCAGTCCACTACTTTGTTGAGTCTAGCTTTTGGCATGGCTTTGCAACGGTCTTTCCGGTCCAGAGCTCCCGGAGAATAAAGATGGAGTCGAATGTCACCGTTTAAACAGAGCTGGCCTAGCGTCTCACAGCGTTTCGTGGGTCTTAGCCAACGAGCGATTCATTCATGAATGGCCGTTGAAGATCATGCTGCTTAGCCCTGTCATCGCGCTGCAAAGCGATCATGCTTGCTGTTACTCATCTTCACTGTGTCTCAATCGTATAAGGCAATCTACAAGCCCCCAATGAGCCATGATCCGCCTTTTACTCTAGCCACTACCAGTCGCTGTGGTTGACCGCCGTTCACATACTCTTCTGGCCACTACCATTTATTGTATTGCACTGTGTGACCGCCACTCCCTAGGTTTGCAACATGGACTCTTTTACCGTAGAAGCGTTCACGCTTCTGGGCACTGGCATCTTTATTATTGGATTGCGACTATTCGCGCGTATTACAGCTGTGGGTATCAAGAATCTTGCGTTGGATGATTACCTCATGTGCATAGCGGCGGTAAGTTTATTATCTCCCTCTACCACTCTCTTATCCCGCTAGGTAGCCTTCAGCGGCTGTACCTGCCAATCTTAGTACCATCGAGACCGCTGTGGTGTCTGACTTGCGAGTTGCTTAGGTTGTTTATGCCCTTGAGACGGCGACTGCGTATGCTGTCGGTGCCTGGTGGCGTGGTCTGGCGAATAATGGCATGACGGACGAGCAGCGCAAAGACCTAGATCCGAACTCGCACGAGTACTATCTAAGAGTCGGTGGTAGCAAGACGCAACTAGTTGGATGGAGCTTGTATACGCTCCTTTTATGGATGATAAAGCTATGCATGACTATCCTTTATTCACGATTAACGTGAGTCTCCAGCCCTCCACGATTGTCAAGCCGCTGGATCTGTGGAAGACGCTGCTAATAGTGCTCACTTTGCATAGGGCCGGCGTCAACAACATGGAAATTCGTGTTCGGATTGGATATGTCGTTGTCATATCAACCTACATCGCAACGGAAATGTCGATCTTGTTCGGCTGCAGACCGTTTCACAAGAACTGGCAAATCTCTCCAGACCCAGGAAGTATGCCTGCACCGATTCGAGTACCTCGTACCAGGGAAGAGAGCTGACGTCTGCGCTTGGTATTCAGATGTTTGCCAACCTGCTATCTCCAAGATCGATCTGTATGTCACTGTTGTCTTGAATGTACTCACCGACATGTACCTGTTATCAATTCCACTGCCGGTGAGTCAATAGAAGCGCAATTCTTCCAGCGTCAACGTCGGCAGGATGACTGTGGATACTGACTCGATGGTAGATGTTATGGAAGGCGAACATGTCGAAAGTGAAGAAATACTCCCTCATCCTTGTCTTTGGCGGCGCCGTATTCGTCATGTAAGTCTGATTTGTAAAGAGCGTTGAAGCATGCGCTAATCCTTTGCTAGGATGGCTGGAATTCTGCGCTGTGCTCTGATCCTGATGGTAGGCCACCCACTCACTCCACCAAACCCCTTCCTGTGTGCTAACGCTGCACGCCTTAGGACCCAATCAACGGCGCCCAACAAGCCGGAAGCTGGGCCTGCCGCGAAACTTTTGTCGCAGTCGTCATTGGAAATGCACCGCTCCTCGCCTCGCTGTTCCGGCGCGCAGGAGAACGCCTACAGAACAGCAGCCTTTTCTCGCGCCACAAGCTCAGTGAGACCGACGGCAGCTACGAGCTGGGATCACGCGAAAGATCGAAAAAGCCACGGAAACACTACTCCCTGCACGCACTGCCCTCGACATACCATACGCAGTCTGATAGTTCTGAACACATCGTGCCATCGGACCCCTTTCCGAAGGATCTGGGCATTCATGTTACGACCGAGGCCATGGTTGGGTTCGAGGGGAGAAACAACACCGATCCTCGAGACGAGAGGCCCATTAGCTCTGCTTACAGTAAACCGCCTGGGGGTTATTCTTATGATGCTAGTATTGTTAGCCACGCGCGTTAGTTCCATCAGTCAGCAAACTAGAAAAATATGTTCGTTTTGTCGGTATTGCATAGCCAGCATACTCAGCGATTGCAGTAGATATCCCTTTGACGAGTATCATGGCAAAGCGCCTTTATTGAGTATCGCAGTCGCAATGATTTTCTCCGCGTGGTTCTCCGTTGACTCAGTACGCTCACTGGCAACCTGTCCGGGCTCCCTGCCCCGTGCCGGGGGAGATTGTAGAGGTTGTTATCGTTCGAAGGCGGCATTTTTAACCGACATAAGCTCAACCACCATCTGCCTTTTAAGCGTTAAAGACACCTAGGTACAGGCTGCAATCGAGTGGCAAGAAGGTGAAAAAAGTAACCAAGTCGGATCGTGCCGAACGAGCGTGACTCCCGCACCCTCGCCTCGGTGACTCCAAACTACTCACAGTCCATGAAATTTAAATCACGCTTTACCGCTCTATCCCCACGACAACAGGAACCGATGGGATGACAGGGTCTAACATAGGTATCAATAGCTATACATGAGTGCTGTCGTACGTAGTATGTTTTCCACAGTGAACTACAGAAACTTGCTTCAAGCACAGCCTCGATGCTAACCAAATCCCCCTCTTTCCTGTTTGACCAGCCAGACGCATTATGCGCTCCCATAGCGCCAGGTGTCAGATCTTTCACGGATTGCCTCCGCCTTGTAGCTGAGGACAGACGACTAATATGAGTGTCTCTAGTTGATTCACACAGGAGCAGTTTTGCATATACAGCCCCAAATCACCCATTCCGCGCCCTTCCTCTCCTCTTCGCCCTCCCGCCCCCCTCCTCATGGAAAACATCCCTCACGACCCCGATCCCCTGCACCCTCTTCCCGCCCTCCTGCTCAACCCGTCCGCCCATCTTCCGAATCAGCTGCTCCCGCTGCCTCTGCACGTCCTCGTCCTCGTAGATCAGCGCTTGGCTGGGCAGCACTTCCGCCAGACTGCCCAGACCGCTAGTTCCCTCGGCGTTGACTTCAGTTACGCTGGAGAGGTTGGGACGTGCGTCGTTGAGCGAGCTCGTGCGCGAGAAGGTTGAGTGGGTGGTCGAGGGGTTGGACTGAAGGGACGGCGCACGGCCCAGTCGACTGCGTCGACGGCGCTGCAGATTGCTTTCGGGCGGAGCGATGGTGGGTTTGGATGCTTGCTTTTGCGCAAGCAGTTCGGCGATGGTGTTATTCAGAGAAACCGCGGGATCGACAACGGCGGGCACTGGTTCCTGTTCTGCGGTCGACTCCAGGCTGTCGGGCTTGGACTTGGCCGAGGAGGAGCGGTGGGATGGTAGAGACGGTCGGCGTGGTGAGTTGACTTCCGGAGCTAGGTCTTGTAAAGGTGGTGGCGTTGGCACAGGTTGGACTGGCACGTGAGAGCCAGCAAGGCTGTCTTTGAGTTCCTGGTCTGCGGGGTGCGATGGATCGAAGTGTCGGGCGTCGCGTGTACGTGCTCGTGTGTTCTCCGGCGGTTTTTCTCTGGATTGCGGAGTTATCCGCTCGAACTCGGGGTTCTTAGTGCGTGGAAGTTTTGTGTTGGCTTGAGCTGGGAGGTCTCTACATGTGGTATGTTAGCTTTCCACCCCTTGGTTTCCTCGAGTAGCGCTCTGAGTCAAGAATATGGCGGCAGGCTCCGTTGCAACGGTTTTCGTAGTTCATGATTGAGTTTAGACGGTTCGCGCTGCAGTCGCCTCCAATATAGAAATGCTATAGAATGGGGCAATCCCTACCTTACGGATTCCTCTTCGTGTTCCTCGTCGTCTGCTCCATCCACGAAAGGGCCTTGTTTTCGAAGACCAGCCTTGGCTTTTTGTGGCGCATTCAATAGGTAGTCATCAAAAGGCTGCATCTTGCCAGTCTGGATACTTGCCCACAGCCATCCCGCAGAGACTGCGGGAATATTGTGCTCAGAGGAATACTTCAGCTTCTCTTTGTTAGGGGTAGCGGAGTTGCAGACAAGTACTGACGTAGTCGGCTTCAGATACTCATCATACCTGCCACCTGAGTTAAGTCAGCCTGGTTTTCAAGCGGATGTGCCTGTATTCCTTACCCATTAACTTCACAACCTTAGAAATATGGAGCAAATCAACTCCTATAAAGGAGGTAGAGCACACGATGAGGTCCCTAAAGCCTACAAGAAATCAACACTCAATCCATTGGAACCGCTTCGACAGCCATACCCTCAATACCAAGCCGCTCGAACGGCTTGCACAGAATCTCGTCTACCGGATCAACCAACGCCTTCCGATGGAGACAGGCCTCCACCCACCACTCGGTCACTCTCGACAATTGAGTAGCTATTTCCGGTCGTGCAGGCCACTGGTCTCGTGGAAGATCATGGGGTATGACAAGAAAGCCTTGCGCCAACTCATCAGGCGAGTGCATATCAAGGTCTCTGAGGTCGAGTACAGCTTGGGCTTCATTGGCAATGAGGTGCGTTTGAAGTATAGACGTCTGCATTCTTGAGTGTTAGTTTTGTGACGGACATCGAGAGGAGCGCTTACCTGTTTGAAGTCGAAGCCAACGATGCAGACAACCCGCCCCCCGAAGATGCCCCGATTTCCTGAGTGGCCAATAGCTGGAGTATTTCCCGTTACTGACATCAATTTTCCTGTGTCTGCGTTCGGCCTCGGGTCTAACGGCTGAGTTGCAGTTCCTATCGCGGGCTGAGCTTTGGGCTTTGGATGAAGGCTGAGATCCCCGCCAGACGGCGCACCGTAGACAGGATCAGACTTGCTCGGCCCAAAGCTAGCCATGTCGGCCCAGATGCTTTGGCTCTGGCTTCCGAGCTTCGTACTCGCAGTGCGTCTGAGCTTTCGGCGGTTGCTATCCCCTACGGCTGCAGCGTGCTCAACATCTCTCGCTCTCTTGCCCAGTGCGACTGCTTCCTCCGGCTCTCGCTTCCATGCATCTTTGCCGCGTTGTTCGGGAGGGAGTACCGGGTCGTATAGCTCTTCCTCGAGAACCATACCGCGTTCGACGCTTTCTTGGAACCATTCTAGAGAGACGACGGTCACTTGCCACATTCGGGCATATTCGTATTTCTTGCCACTTGGGACCGCCGCGATGAGGTGGGTAACGGCCTTTGTCAGGTCGCCGTGGTATTCTGCGCCGTTGGCCACGACAGTCTTGGCGATATGATCCCTTTGCGCGACTGCGGTCCATCAGCTCCGTCTTCTCATCGAACCCATCCGATGCGCGAACTCACGGTCCTCGAAGCCCGTTACACATATCCTCAGCCCACTGAATGTAGGCACTCGATATTCATTCTCCAGCGCTTCGACGTCGGTGTCGCCTCCCTCCATCCACGAGTTCCGCACCGCTCCGATCCAAGCAGGCGTCACGACCTTGACGTCGGGGCGGTTCTTCGCTACGTACTTGTATTTGGGGGTATCGATATTGCCAATGATCAGGTGGGTAACATCGGACGTGAGATCGTACTTGTGGATGGCGCCCATCTGAGTTGCGACTTGTGCGAGGGCGCCCTGCGGGACGGCTCCAACGTCAGGACCGCGACATGGTACTTAGTTGCTGATGGTAAACTCACACGTTGCTCCGGCGCGATAGACGTGCAACACATGATGACACCCAGAAGCGGTGTCTGCCCATTGACTGCTCGAGCATCAGCAAGCCATTCGTATCACGCAACGAGGAAAAACAGTACTTTGACCATCATGTTGAGCCATTGCTGGGTGCTGATGCCGCCACCCCTCCTCCTCAGCATACAAATCGCAGTTGGAGGTTGACATGCGTTAATGCGCGTCGCGTGCTGGAGATCTGAGCGGTGAGCAATTCTGCCAGCGCTTAACCACGTGACCTGCACATCTCATCAAGCTCGAGGACGCATCTCTCCGCGGAGAGAGGCACGATCCCGTCCCCCAGCACAGCCTCCCTCTCAAACACGTCACATCGAACCATCAAACCAGATCCGTTCTTAGCGGGACACTATCGGTTGCGTATTTGCTCCGTGCGTTTTCTAACACACGATATGCAAACGATACTATCGTAGCAATAAATGTCGATTCGGCTAAACGGATCCTTGGGATCGGCTACCAATAGGTACCACAAGCACAACACGAAGCTAGAGCGAGTGGATTGCCGCTTCCTACACACGCTTTTTGTGATCTTGACACCCCAAACGTGCTCTCAGACGCAGATCCACAGCCCTTCTGGGCAGTTGCTGATCGCGCGGAGATGCGATGCTCCTCGGGGCTTTGCCGTTTCGAGATCGGACGTGACTGTCAGCCAAGACACAACCCCAAGATGCCATGAAGGCTACTTCCTGCTTGGACATCCTCGTGATGCCGCTGTCCAGCGCTGTCTCGGTTCTTGGCTTTAATCTACAGTGCCCAGGAGCAGCATTCGACGAGAGAGCCACCCGTGCTGAAAAAGCAACTCAGAGTTTCCGGATGAGCGGTCTCGAAGTCCGCGGCATTGCTGACGCATCTGAGCCATGGCGCAACTTTTACGGGCTCTGTTTGGCTTCTAAACAACAGTGCCGAGTCTGCGTGGTCCGAACAGAGCGGACCTAAGATCGAGGCAGCTAAGTTCCGCGGGCGCTGATAGATCTTTAGAGTGTAGATGCCGAGCAAGCCGGCGAGCTCGGTGTCCGTAAGCATGGAAATCGCGCATTCTGCTCCACCAGATGTGGGCTCAGGATGCTTCGGATAGCATGCTGATGTCATAGCCGACCTCTCACGCATCGTGACAGACTCTGTACGCTTGCGTATGGGAATTACGGCGACTTGGTGTGCGTATTAGATCTTGTTGACGCAGCCCTGAAGTCTCGCCTTCTTGGCCGGCGTTTCGGTGCCAATCCAATCCATGGACACCTCGCCGTGACCCCGAGACTTGCTGCGCAACCCCCAACCCCTACCTACCCTGATAGAAGACATCGATATTAGTTATTTGGATTTCTCACTGTCAGAACAACTCGACTGCGGTTGCGGCTCGATCTGTTCTTACGCAAGCAACCCTGTCAAACCTTACCTTACCTTAAGCATGGTAAATATTCCTGCCTTGCTCCGCCAACTTCCAACCCTCGGGCTCCCAATTCAGTACCAGTGGCATGCGCTGTCCTCCCTCCCGGTAACCCTCTTATAACACTTCAATTTCCGCGGCGGTCCTCTTGTGAGTCCGAGTTCCTTATAATCAAACGTTTGGCTGTTTGCTTGAGTTGTCGCCGCACCCAACACGCCCGCGTTGTCATCCGGCGGTTATGCGCTGCACTGTACTTTCCATGAAACCCAGCTTCCTTCAGACCGTGTTATCTCTCTAGAGCCTGCGAATTTCTGCACATGTCGGCGTCAGATTGCACAGGCGGTGTATCAAATGGTTGCTGCCACATATAGTCCAACTCTCACTCACAAGGTTGCCCCGCATGACAGAATACCAAATCCTCAATAGCCAGAGCGGCCGGCTTACATACCTTTCTGGAGACCGTCACGACTGCCCTCAAACCAACCCCGGCCTCTTCCAGCCACGCACACGCCGACCGAACATCATACGTATCTCCCACGTCGCCCCAGACTACCCGCGGCACGTTTCTCCCCTACGCAAAGGCCGCTCCGTTATAACCGCAAAGCTGGCGGGCCCCAGTGAGAGCGCGAAACGAATTCTTCGAGCCTTCATCGCCTCCCATACTTCTCTTGCGCCCGAGAAGCCGAGCACGCAATCGAGGCGGTCTTCTTCGTCAAGCGCGGGTGCGCCTAGGGAGGCAGGGGCAGACGCAATGAGGGCGGCTTCGCGTAGCTCAGTTGGAGGTCCTGTCAGTGGGATCATCCATCGACCGAGTCTCGTCGAGAGTGTTCGGGCTTCATCCGGCCAGTCTGTAGCTTCGCGCCCGCCCAACCGCATTCTTACCAATACCATCCCGGATGAGAAGCCCGTAGCATCGGGCGGTAACATTACTGTTAGCGTTGCATTGGCAGAGCCAATGCTCTATGTTCATGGCTTCGAGCAAGATGAGACTTCGGAGCGGAGTACCGCTATGCTGCGGGGTAGCCTGCATTTACGAGTGACGAAAAGCACGAAGATAAAAGCGGTTACCCTCAAGTTCCGGGGATTGGCGACGACCCTCTGGCCCGAAGGTAAGAGCGCTAATCGTCAACCTTATCCTTGTACGAAGATTGCTGACGAAGCTACAATCAGGTATCCCTCCGAGGAAGACCGAACACGAAGAGGTTGACACGATAATGAGCCACATTTGGCCATTCTTCAACGCGCAATTCCCCACCGCAGAGGCCGGTACTTGTGCCGATCATGTAGAGCTGTTTCCAGGAACCTCAACCTCGAGCACGGCAAGTAGTCTCAAGTCTCTTGACTCCTTTGGCCGCAATGGGTCGGCTAGCTCAGCATCAGGCCTCAGCAGCCGAGATCAAAAGAGGTTATCACTCCAAGTAGCGCAATCTCGAAGTTTCGGCAAGGGTGATTCGTCCACGAACGGACCGTCAGTAGCCCAGAAAGGTTACAGGACATTTGCTCCCGGCGACTACGTGTACAATTTCGAGCTTCCACTCGACAGCCATCTACCCGAAACCATTGACGTTGAGCTTGGATCGGTTCGATATGAGCTCGAAGCGACAGTCGAACGCGCCGGCGCCTTTCGAGGCAATCTCGTGGGCACGAAAGAAGTCCAGCTCATCCGAGCGCCTTCCGAAGGCTCATTGGAGCAGATTGAACCCATTGCCATTAGCCGAAACTGGGAGGATCAGCTGCACTACGACATTGTTATTTCAGGAAAATCATTTCCACTGGGTGCTCAGATTCCGATCGCCTTCAAGCTCACGCCGCTGGCGAAGGTACAATGTCACCGTGTCAAAGTCTTCATAACAGAAAGCATCGAATATTTCTGCAACAACAAGCGGGTCCATCGTATGGAGCCGACTCGAAAACTTCAGCTATTTGAGAAGCGCGCTGAAGGATCGTCAACGAGTACGTTTCCGGGGAGTACCGTAAGGATTACCTCTGGAGGCGGCATTCCGTTTGATCAGCGGGTAGCAGCAGCTAGAGGAGAGGAAGTAACACCGACTGACACTACGAATCTGCTTGGAAATCTTGAAGCGGATCCAAACGCGGGGCCTACAGAGATGGAGTTCAGCGTTCAGCTACCGAGTTGTCACCACATGCGAGACAAGGACAAGCTACAGAAGCTACACTTTGACACGACGTACCAGAATATCCAGGTTCATCACTGGATAAAAGTAAGTGCCCCCTTAGTGTAAAACCACTAGCATAAACTGACGAGATTGAAGATTGTGATGCGGCTATCAAAACCAGACGAGAATGACCCTACCAAGCGGCGACACTTTGAAATCTCTATCGACTCCCCATTTCACATCCTCTCGTGTCGAGCCACGCAAGCAAACACCGCCCTGCCCGCATACTCCGCTCCCGAGAACGCAAACGACTCAGCGCGCGTCCCTGAATGCGGCTGCCCTGGCGCACCTATGCGCCGCCACTCGCCAACCTCCTACGTACCGACACTTAATGCTCTCAACGGTTCCAGGGAGAGGTCTTCATCAATGGACGAAGTCCCCAGCCCCGGTCTTACGCGCCCCCAACAGGCTCATCTCGGGGGTCCGATAAACCAGAACCTCCAGCGGCCGATCCACATGCTCCGGGCGCCGTCTTTCAACCCTCCGGCTTTCGAGGACGATGAGCCGCCACCCCCGATGGTCACGCCGCCGCCGCAGTACGATAGTATTGCCAGTCCGACTTCGGGCCTTGCGGACTACTTCTCCCGGCTCTCGGATACGTACGACGACGACGATGACGGCTTGGTGAGAACGCCGGGGAGGGTAGAGATCCCGTTGACGCCTGGGGCTAGAGTCAATAGGAGTATGGATGAGCGGAGAACGTGGTTGCCGATTGGGCACTACGCGCGATGACCGGATCTGGGCGGCGAAGTTCGAGCGGGAACGAAGTTCACGAGGCGTCGAGATAGTATACACTAGTCTGGTACTCTGAATACATAGAAAGGGATGGGCAATCTTTGATGCAAGCGGGGGGATTTATTGATACATGTGTTGCACCTGGCATAGCGGCTGCGATAATGTTTCTGGGATTGCTTTTAGCGCTTCACAACAAGTGGCTTCGACGCTGCAACTGGGTCTCACGGAGGGAGGAGCGATGGGTGAGGGGCGTCTCTTGGTGGATGTGTGGATACATACAGCTGTTTGCACAAAGTCGCTTCTGTTCGTGTTTCATTCATCAATCTGATGAACATCTAGTCGTCAACGCAATAGCCGATATCTTCCGGCCGTGCATGGGG